CGTACGGAGGGACGGACGGGAAGGTCAAAGGTGGGCTCCTCGCTGCCGAAATCCACCTCAACGCCGGTCGCCAGCGGCGACACCGCGGGCGCGCGCGAGGCCGACGGGCTCGGCGTCGGCGACCTGGCCGGCGAACGCGAGGCAGCCGGAGGCATGGAAGGTGCGGGCATGGACGTGGGCGATAGCGACGGCGAGGGTGAGGGTGAGGGCTGGAGGCAGCCGAAGATGTCGATGCTGAGGGCCACCACCTCGTTGCTGTCGACCCACCCTCCCTGCTGCGGCTCCACCACAACCTTACCGCCCAGCCCGACCAGGCCGCCGATTGGCGCGCCGTCGTAGGGGATGGTGGAGCCCTGAAGCGCGCGGTAGCTGCCGTCGGCGAAGGCCAGCACAAGCCAGTAGCTGGTGCCGTTGGCCAGCGCAATGCCCCCCTTGGCGGTGGCGTTGAACCGAAACTGGGTGGTTCCACCACCACCACCACCGGTGGTGTCGATGGGGGCTCCGGTGCTGTTGAAGGCGCCGTTGGCGAGCGGGATTCTGGGCTGAAGCCCATCCCCAGTGTCGGAGTACAGCTCAACCGACTCGAGAGTCCATTTGGGATCCTCGCCTGGCGAAGAGGTCGTGGAAGTGATTATTGTTTTTAGTAATTTCTTTCTAGGTTTTAACCAAAAAGGAAAATAGTCATAAATTATAAATTCCACAGTAATAAATGAAGAAAGGAGTACTCTGCGAGAAGACGGCGGTGAAGTGAAGCACGTTGAGGTCGGCCTGGACGTCGAGCCGTTGCGCAACCCGAGGCACCTCAGACGCCAGCTTGCCGTTCGTAGTGCTGTTGGTATGGGTCACCACTTGCCTGCAGCTTTGAGCATCGGACACTCCAACGAAGAGAGAGTTAGGGAAGGGAAAGCCGCTGCCCGAGAGCAAGACCAGGAGGACCACTAGGAGTGCAGCACGCCACGCCTTCACCATCTTGTTGAGTTTTATACTGAAAATGACAAGCTGGACTTTCTGCCCCGGGGGAATTGGTCGACACGATCGTGCCACGTGAGGCAGCGCAACCACTCGTTTACTATCCGAGTCGCACCAAACCATCCCATTGGACCACGTCAGCGTTTCAAGTAAGTGTAATTTCAATTGCACTAACTTGTACCGACTCGCATTCCAAACGTTCGAGGGTGGTCGAATCACTTCATGTTATGTTTGGCGATGTTGTGCTCTAGAGCAGATCGCGGGGGTCTGCCTGGGTTGGTGCCTCCCCGAAGTTAACGGCCGTGGCCCGGTTTCGGTTGCGCCGCCACTGGACCCAACGCACCGCGACTAGACTCGCCACGATGACCGCCAGCACGAACAGCACCGCCAGAGGCACCCCACCGCCACACCCAGGATAAGGCCTAGATCGGACGACGACGAGGAGCCACCTTCGCCCGGCCGACCGATCAGCACGCCCAGGCCCAGGCTGGGGTCGTAGACAACGAATCGGGTGAAGGGCGGGAAGCCCAGCTCGAGCACGTAGCTCCCATTGTTCGCCCCTGCGACTTCCGCAGACTCGGTGGCGACTGCGAGTGACATGTGAGTCAGCGGTACAACCGCGTCATCGACCAGTGCCAAGCCAAGCACCTCCAGCTGAGCCGCGGCATCATCGACTGAGCCTCCGGACGTCTTGGGGAGCGCGACGTAGAAGGTCGTTATGCCAGCTTGCGGCGTGTCGTCCCGCCTGAAGATCCACTGCTCGGCCGTCGGAGATCGGAGCGTGGAGAGGTCCGCCACTCGATAGCGAATCGTGAAGCCGTTGCGTTGCGCGTTGGAGGTGAGGCTGTGATTGGTGGTGTCGACCGCAGCGGCGGTGAAATTGAGGGTCCACTTGACCGTACCGTGGCGGGCGGTGAAGTTCAGTCCAGCGAACGACATGGGCGTGGCTTGGTGGAAGTGGGAGAAGGACTGCGTGAGTGTTGAGGCTTCGATCTGGGTGCGGTAGGCATAGGCCGTGGTCGATGATGGTCCTCTGGTGCCCCTGCGGGTGAGGTCGGCCTGGACGTCGAGCCGTTGCGCAACTCGAGGCACCTCAGACGCCAGCATGCCGTTCGTAGTGCTGTTGGTATTGATAACCACTGGCTTGCAGCTTTGAGCATTGGCCACGCCAACGAAGAAAAACAGGACCACGAGAGCTGATCTCCTCGCCTCTGTGCGCATCTTTGCTCTTCTCTTGGTGCGAATGGTCGCTACAAGGCGGAGAATGCTGCCATCCTCCTCATTGCCCTCATGTGCCCACCTGCTATGATCACCATGTTTCTCAAGAAGAACTTGTTTTCGCTCCTCAAAAGCTGCGCTTGGACACACCAAACCACAAACCCAAGAATGTGACAAACAACAAGATGAACAAATTGTGAAGCTTGACATTTGATTTAGATTTGACCATTTTATTAACTCAATGTGTTGGCCTCTGTGCACAGCATTCCTCACATCAGGGGAATTCCTCACATCAGGGGAATTCCTCACATCAGGCTCAATGCTGTTCTTGAGCGCTCCAAGGTGCAGCTGTCAGCCAGAGCTGCAACTACAAGCACGTCCTCCTCTACTTCCTCTGAGTTATTTGGAAAAGGAACGCTCTCTGTGTTGTTGAGTGCAGAGAACGTTGGGCTAGTTGGACTCCTCTTCACTCTCAGTGTTGTGCCATTCAGGGACGTTGAAGAGGATGTTGGTGTAGGAGGATGGAATCTGTTGCATGACATAGTGGCACCAGAAGGTGTTGGGGTCCTGCCATCTGCCCAGGTGGAAGAGGGCGTTGGGTTCAACGCCAGCGTGAATCCCCACCATGATGCCCAACTTGTGGAACATGCAGGTGGTGAAGACATTCAGATCAAGGCCTGCCTTGCAGGCAACGCCCTTGAGGACCTCCACGCAGCACGTCAGTGAGAGCTTCACATAGGGGGGCTCCAGCTTGAAGATGAGGCAGCAGCCACATACATGGGCACATGCACATGTGGTCTGCACTTTCCAGCAGCAGAAGGTAGCCACTGGGCAGAGCGCCTCCTCTGCGCATTTGAAGATGATGACCTTGTGGCCATTGCCATGGAGGTCATTCTTGTAACCTGAAACTGGCACAATCAGTGCTTCTTTGTTGCCCTCACATTGGATGGACACATTGTTGAAGAACAGCAACATCGCCACCAACACTCACAGGGCGCCCAGCATGCAGAGCAGGGCAATGAGCTTTGCTCTTGTCTTGCTTGGCGTGGTCCAAGGTCCCCAGTCATGGAAGAGGGCTGCCAGGGAGGACAGGTTGAAGGTCCTCCCATGGTTGACTGGCCATTTTGTCCTGTTGTGGACAAGGGCTTGGTGTAGGCAATGGATGAGTGGATTGTGAGTGGGGAATAGGTTCAGTGGTTTGTAGAGCACTGTGATTGCTGCAGAGAGCAACTTGATGGTCAAGGACGGCCATTGAGAGGCATGGGTGGCTGACTTGAGGAAGTTGGCAATCACCACAACTGCCTCTTCCTGTTCTGGAGGGAAGCTTGTTTCCTCCCATTTGCAGAACTCATGGAAACACTGGAGGGAGGATTGATAGTGTTTCCATGTTGATGGCGCCAGGGTGCTGTTGAGCATGGCTAGGGTGTGAGGCGACCAGCCCTTGGTCTGTGTGCACCAGAGATCCTGCAGGCGATCCATTGCCATGCCTGGTTGTGCAGTGGTTCTGGCAGGGCCTTGCCCTTGAGCTTGAATGACAAGGGGTTGTTGGGGATGGGGATGGGCGGCTCAATGCAGAGTTCCAGGAGCTCATGGAACCACAGTCTGTTCAACCAGGTCAGGACCACAATGGTTGCAGAGGCGCATTGCTGATGAATGAGGGTGATGATCTTCAGAATGAGGGCTATGGGTGGTGTCACCCAGTTGTTCTCCTGACGCCAGTCTTGGCAGAGGGCGTCCACCACTTCAGACCCCTCCTCATGGAAGTGGCTGTTGAAGCATGGGCACCTGGCGTTCTGGGCTGTGGCCATCCAGTCCACCATGTGCAGTCCCCACCAACAGTCCAGTGAGGAGAAGATTGAGTCCACCAGTCCCCACTCATGTTGGGGATATAGGTGGCTCAGGTGGTTGGTGTGGCTGTTGTCTAGGCCAGGAAGGTGCTGTGCCATGAGCTGGGCTTCATGTTGTTCACACCACTGCAATATCTTGTGTGCAGTCTTATTCATCACCAGGTTGCAGCCACTGAGCTTGTTGATGTAGGCGATGGCCATGATGTTGTTGCACCTGAGCAGGATTGACTTCATTGCCAGGAAGGGCTGTAGGGCTCAGAGCGTGTGCAGGACCACCTTGAGCTCAAGCTCATTGATGTGCCAGTCTCTGCTGTGCCACCAGCCCACTGAAGTAGTGGTTGAGTCCTTCAGGGCTACTCCCCAGCCAGTGAGGGAGGCATTGGTGTTGAGTACCACATTGAATGGTCTCATTGACACCACTTGGCTGTCCCACTTCGTCAGGCTGACCATCCACTCCTGCAGGTCATTGAGTGCCACCATCAACAGGTGGATGTGGCTGTGCCAGTCCCTGCAGTGCTTGATGTTGTGGTAGAGGTTTTGCAGGAGAAGTTGGGCCAGCAGCACTGCTCTGGTCAGAGAGCAGCAGTGGCCCACCACTGCGGCTGCACACTGGACTGGGACCTGGCCTGCTCACTCATGGGCTTGTAGAAGGCACTCAATGTTGTGACACAACACATGCACCTTGGCCATTGGGACTTGGAAACTTGGCTTGGTGGACAAGTCCACCATAAGCCTGAGAAACTCCTTGGACTGGCTCAGGTGGAGAGACAACTTCTTGTGGTTGATACTCCAGCCCAGGTTGGAAAGGGTCTTGAGGACAATCGCCCAGTGGCAAATGGCCTTGTTGAAGCTGGGCGCCATGATTATCAGGTCATCCATGTAGGTGAGGCAGTGTATCCCCTTCCTCATGAGGGCCACCATTGTGGCCCTCATGAAGTGGGTGAACACCCATGGGGATGCATTCAGGCCAAATGGAAAGACACAAAAGACATATCAGTGATTCCACCACTGGAGACCAAGGAGGTGTTGGTGTTGAGGGTGCACTTCCATGTGGTGGAAGCCATCCTTGAAATTGATTGTGAAGAGGTAGTCGCCTGGGTGAAGAAGGTCCACCAGGTCTTGGAGTGACTGGTACTTGAACTTTGGGGACATAAGTAGGTGTTGAGAAGACACATGTTGACAATGAGCCAGGACTTGCCATTCTTCTTTGGCATGACGCCAATTGGGGAGATCATTGCACGTTTGTGCAGGAGTAGCTTTTGTAGGGCTTGCTCAGCAAGGAGGTGATGAATTTCACCATCCATGAAGGCCGCCTGACTTTCTGTCAGGTGATGGTTGTGCATTGAGTGTAGAGCTGGGAGCTGTGAGATTGGCAGCTCCACGCCTAGATGGATCCACTGCAGGAGGGTTGGTGAGGCTCCCTCCTGCTGCCACTGGTACCAGCGTGGTTGGAGCGCACCCATGACAGGTGCGCTTGGTGAAGCGCTGGACATTCGTGGTACCTCCCCCCTGGTGAGGGGAGGCCGCGGGGTCACTGGTGACACTAATCCTGGCTGGCACTGGAGCCTGCGCCATGGCCAGAAGAAGTAGATGATTTGTTGTAGTAGGGCTTCTTACCCTTCAATTTGGGGAATGATGATGATGATGAAGATGAAGATGATGACAATTGTGACAAGGAGCCCTTCCACTTGCCGTTTGGCTTGGCAGAGGGCTTGGAGGCCTGCTGCTTGAGTGCAGCAAACTTCAGAGCGCTGAAGAAGCAGTCACAATCCTGTGCAAGGACCAAAGAGCCCTCAAGGGCACAGAACATGGGGAGCACTTCCACCAGTAGGGCCTTGACCATCCATGTCTCATTGCATGTGTGCAAAAGTGTACACATGCCAATGAGGGCCACTGTGGCAATATCTTTGATGTCTGATTTGGTGTTGGGGAAGTGGTGGGCCATGCAGGCCACTATCTGCAGGGTCATTTGAAAGAGCTTGAAGGAGTCCTGCATGTGAGTGATGGCTGCCTTTTTGTCCTTGGATAACCCAATGTTGGACAACTGAGGGAATGTGACCCTGCTGGTGATGGGGATCACATGAACCTGGTGGTGGATGATCTTGAGCTGGTCGTCCAACTCTGTGGTGAATGGAGACACCATGGCAATGTACTGCGCCAGCAACTCATCCTCTCCAATGGGGCCACAGGGGCTGCAGGGGTTGCTGGGGTCATGTGGGTTGGGGTTGGAGAAGGTGTGGTGGCCTTGGCTGTCACAGGCATTGGAGTTGTAGTTGTGACAGGCGTAGGTGGAGCTGGAGCCAGGGAAGACATGACCAAAGAAGGCAAGGGCATGGAGGTAGATGATGAGGACGAAGATTTACCTGTGGCTGAGCCTGCAAGGCTCCCATTCACAAACAATTCCAGGGCCTCACTGACCATGCTAAAGATGTCCTTGCGCAGCTCCACAAGCATTGCATGTGTAGGAGCGTGGTCACCATCCTCAGGTTCTGAGTCCAGAGATGTAGACTTGGAAGTTGAAGGTGAGTGAGAGATGCTCATCGATCAACTAGCCCAATGAACAGTAGACTACGCAGACAAGGAAGCAAAGAAGAAAGATAGTATACTGGTGGTGTTTTAACTATTTATTTATTTTCAAAACTCTGTAGGAGTAATAAATAGTTAAAACAACGCAGAGAGCATTCCTTTGGAGAGTAACTAGTGTTACCATCTGGTAATCTTATTGACCAACTCATCATCATTGCTCTCTTCAAGCTTGACAGTTGCCTCCTCCAAGCCCAGCCTGAACAATGACCCTGATGATGATGATGATGAGTTTTCTCTTCAAGTTGCCCTTCTGAGCAGCGCTGGGAGCAGCAGACAGCAGGAGCAGTGGATGGCGGCGCCAACGGGAGCAAGAGCGGCGGCGAGAGCGATGGACGGCACCACTGGGCGCAGCAGACAGTGAATCGATTAATACTAAATAATTTTGAAAATTAGCGGACCTTGGTGCAGTTTCTCGAGCGAAACGGACCGGTCTATTTTCAACCCACCCCAAACCTTTCTTGGCAACCAGTTCAAACCCCGACCGCGGTTCAAGCCAGTGGCCAACACCGTCCCGTTCGGCGGCAAGGACTGCCGCGCCCAAATACCTTCTTCTTCAAGCTCCTGGTGGTTGCAGAAGACCCGCAGGAGCGAAGAGATGTCCGACACTCTACCGCGAATCGTGGAGCGGTGGCGAACGACATGTGCGTGGAGAAGGACTGCGTGAGGGTCGAGTGCCAGCTGGCCAGCGACGCCCAGAAGTGAGCCGGTGCTCAGACACCCGCTCTTCACCACAGCGGTGTTGGCCGATTGCTTTTGCTTGGCCGGTGGTGCTGGCCGTTAGGAAGAAAATGCAATTCTGAACTGAAAAATGATCAACTCCGCATTCTGGAAAAATGGTCAAACCCCGCACATGGACACAAACTCAGTGGCAGTAGTTTCCTCCCAAAAACTACATCCCCGCGCCCATAAGATGGTAGTGTGCGCGGCACCAGCAATGCCGTCTATGCCCTCTGCAAAGCGGTGGCACTCGACATTCCTACTGGTGGTCCCTATCTTGTTCTTCCTTGGCACTGCCGTCCTATCTACACACGGTACATTCATCCTGGCTACATATCGTCATTTAGTTTAGGTCATACGCCTACATCTTATGTTTTCGCAACACTATGAAATCAACATCCAGATAGTCGAGTATTACAGCTCGTCGCTTTTGGTCTTCTTCGTTCTTCTTCTTTCTTCTTTGGCTGATCGTTGTCCCTGACGACATAATTGTTTTCTTTTTTTCTTTTTCTTTTCTTTTTTGCCTAGGGGGTACCCTCCACGACCATCGTGTGGGCCGAGCCGGTAGATGGGCACTGGTGGGACCCGC